CGGCACTACGAAGGGGCTGCCAAACCGCGGTGAAGATTTCCACGTGATGAGCCACTTTATCGAGCTATCATTTGTGATTGGCCAGATCGCTTCTGTAAAAGAAGCGAAGAGGTCAGTCGGCTTTATTTGTATATTTTAAGTTTTTTTTTATTTCCTATACTTTTCCCTCCTATCGTGTTTTTTGAATTTGTTGTAACGTTCTGACTTGCCTCTACTGGGCATCTGTGAAAAATAACTTTATATCGGATTCCTCCAGTATCAAAACACATTCTGATCCTGAACGATGAGGTGACACTTATTCATACTAATGCCCTTAATGCGACTCGCGTAATTATTTATTCTGTAATAAGTGGCTCAAGCTAAAGAGCTATTCACAATTACTCGATTCTGAGACACAACTGATTTTTAAAAAAATACAATTACATAATGGCCTATTTAGAGCCAAACCTGCCCACCCATTCACCTGGCAATGTGCGGACCTTTGTCAGTGCCGGATAAAGGCCCTACCCCATACCGTGTCGGTCATCGGGGTTGTTTTTACCACAGGTGCGATACTTAACCCCGCTGGACAGGTGAAAGGGGGACGCCTGGGCGGGTTCAGACATCACTCCCTCGCGACGTTAGCCTCGGCCAGGAGTCGAACCGCAGAATTGAAATGCGGTGTTTTTTCTGGAAGACTGCTGTTTTTTTCCTGGATTTTTCTGTTGCATGTAGTCACTTTAAGATGTTTCTTGTTCATGTTTTTTTTGTTGCGGTTGCACCCGAGTCAAGAGCCGCATGGCTCATGGTTATATACCTAATACATGAAACTGAAATTGGAAACTGAACCCTGGACAACCGAGTTCACAGCGCAGTGCCCTAAACACTTGCGCCACTGCGTTACTGCTCCACCCCTCCACTGCGTCACCGCCCCCCCCTCTCCACCCCTCCATCCCCATCAGATCATCACGTCTATTGTATCATGATATTAACGGGCCGCTTGTTGGAATGGAAACACACCCACGGTGTGACGCATAACTCAATTTACAAGCGTGTTCATGACTGTCGGCTCGAAGGCATGTGCCATTTATTGTAACCCCTTACCCACTCAACATCTGGCCTCGTGGTATATATATATATGTAACGACTCCAGGAGACACTGCTCTTTTCGTGGTTCTTTATTGACAACGCGTTCACTTGACAGCGAAGAGCCCGACTCCAGCAGCAGCCACCGAGCATCTCCTCTCGGCCCCTTCTATCCCAAGCGTGGCCATCTCCCCTTGGTCCTTGGCCACTCTCGAAACCTCTCGCTCGCTCTCGATCCTTTATCCGCACCTGTTCCCTTCTGTCACTTGGCCGCAGCACCCTATTCTCGATCCTTCTCGAAGTCCCCAGATCGTTCCCCTGTCTGTCCCTTAACCTGTCATTACCCCCTGTGGCCGCTAGTCTCCTGTACTGTCTTTACAGATATATGAGGGATGGGTTGCCACCTGTTCTGGTTTTTCCAGGATCGTCCTCTATTTGTTGAGGGTAGCTGTCCTGGGGAAATCTGTGAGCCTTCCCGGAACATTAAACATTGAAAGGCCAATGCTTTGTGCCAGCTATGTGCAATTCTACCCCCTTCTGGCATTGTGAGATATATCTCTTCTTGGTAATTATTGAGGACCATATATATGGAGGCACGAACCCATTTAGTGATTTGTGTTAGCAGCATGATGTTACAATCCATTCTCATCCATACTTTAATTTACTACATTCACGACTGGTGGCAAGCGTCCATGGAAAGGTGTGTGTGTGCATAGTTCGTACATTGAACAAACCTTCCTCAAAGAGCTTCCCTGTAAAATGTCTCAGCGCATTGCAACTTCAAAATGAATTTGCATTGCCTTACACTTGAAGCAATGTGATTAATCATGGCCCGCATCGCATCCTGAAAATGTATGTAATCCCAGACATGCAATGCAATTATACAACACAATTTGGATGTATAAAGCGTCTAAATGTGTCCGCGTGTCGAGACGCTCAACGGAAACAGTGAGCATATTTATTTCGTGACGCAGTCGTTTATAGGCAGAGGAAACAAGCGAGGAAGCCATCGAGTCCGCACTTGCACGGGGCCTGGGAGAGTCAACACGGGCGGCTGGGAGAAGCTCCACATTGTAGGGGGGCAGCACTGGAGGATGAGTGACCTCCCATTGGTCGAAGGTTGACTGGAGGCTTCGTGGAGACAATGTTGCCTTCCTGAGTGACGAATCTCTATCACACAGCCTAAAACATTGATTGGGCTTCTCTGGACTTTTAGGCGCTTTACCCGAAGGGAAAGGTTTGGTGTTAAATTCGCCACTTTCCGAACACTCAATCAGCACTGGCCGAGACCCTGGGTTCAAATCCGGATGACGTTCCACCCCTCGATTAAACCAAGACCATTGGATCTAATTGATGGTATCAACTCATCACCAGTAATCGACATCTACTGAATTACTGTTATAAACGAAAAATATTAATAAAATATATTTAACAATAGATATATTTAACAAAAAATATATATTTCACAATATAAATATTTAACAGATAAAAACAAATTTGATTCATCTAACACCATCGCTTGATTTTTTTTCTTAAACAAATAATACAGCAGTCCAGTATTGCTCACTTCGAGGGTTAAAAGTTGGTTCGACAGAGGCGATAACAAAAATAAAAATTGCTTTACGCCTTTGTGTCACGCAATAAATGCGGGATGGGAAATGGCAAAGCGGGATAGGTCACAGGAAGCAATGAGATACCCCCGTGACGTCAGTGAGCACAGCAACGCGTATCACCAACGCCGAGTCAACAAGCTCGAACACTGCACTGACCCCCGCATCACGCCCACTCAGATCCAGTGGCTTCACTCGCGCACAATATCCTCAGCCACGACAACTCCGCTGCTGGATAAGGAACCTCTCACCTCCTCACCAAGTCGTCGGCATCTCACGCGGTCCAAAGATGCAACGAATCCGCTGGCAACTGCGCGCAAGCACGTTCCATTGATCCGTCTCTGCAGTGGGCGTTCCCTCCGTTGAATGCACTCCACTCTTAGTCTCGACCACGGACCATGAAATGTAATCTGACGTACCCGTGCGGCACCCACCACACAGCCCGCTGAACCGTCGGTGGCTCTGTCTGCTCTACTGGTGCCATGTTCCGGAGCCCGCCTTGCCCGAGTCATCCGCGCTGTCGATCCCCTTGCCTCCCTTCAAGTCCAGGCTCAAGATCTTCAACTTCTCTGCTGCCTACGGCTGTCCGTTTATATGCACAGAATAAATGACTATGCATCCTTGACCCAGGATGTCCATGTTGCACAGTTGTTGTTGTTGTTATTTATTGTAGCATCTTCTTGGTTATTTCGGTAAAGTCACGTAGAATGGAAATAATAAAATAATAAAAAATAAAACATAATAAAATAATTGCGTTGTGGCCGAAACGTCGTGAGAATTATTTTATTATGTTTTATTTTTATTACTTTATTATTTCAATTCTACGTGACTTTACCGAAAGAACCAAGAAGATGAATCCCTGCAGTCACGAAAGCTTTAAATCCAAATTTATTGTAGCATCCTTAAGGCGCGGTTGTTCTTCCTCCTCGGCTGCTCCTGTTGCCTGTCAACCTTGCTCGGTCGTTCCTGCGATGGACTCAGAGGTTGACACATATATCCAACGTCTACCGCCGCGGCATTGAGTTTCTGTATAAATCCACATCGTAAGGCAACGGACTGCGTACACTTCAGAAACCGTGCCTCCATCCCAAGCGACATCTTACAAACGTTATCCTTACTCAATTAAGTGCATGAACTTTGCCAAGAGGGCGATGTTATGGAAAATTGGGCTGGTTTGATGTTGTCCGTGTTTGATGTGGGGGAGAACACCGGAGTGACCTGGAGAAATACCCCACGTGTTCATGGGGAAACCATTTCAACTCGAGTATACTCAGACTGAAATGAAGTAGACAGTTATTTGCTTGTAGTACAGCTTTGCATCTCAGGCTCCGTACACCAACTGATATTTATTGCAGGAATGCGTTGCGACAGTTTAGGGATTAATTTTACAAAGGAGCTGTCGGGGGCTAAGCTCCGGAAACATATATCTCCCTTCCCGGAGGTCCTGGGGGTTGGAGGTTGGGAGGCACAGACAATATTGGATGAGTATTCGATCCCTGCTACAGCTGTGATATAGTAGAACTCGCCAATGGTCCTGACCATGACCTGCTATCGAACCCGGATTTTAAGGTTTAGTAGTGAAGTGTATTAACCATCCAGACAAATCAACCTCAACTACTACAACCAAACTACAACCACCAATGCATTCATGCAGCCACTCCCAACCATTCGCTCGATCTAAATAAATAAAGCATCCAACATAAACCACCTCACTCCTTTACAATCGCACTAAATCATCTGTAACCACTCTAATCCACCCACCACCATCCACAACCACCAATTAAGCACTTACATACCTCGGCCATCCTATACCCCCTCCTCCCCCATCCAATCCAACTGCACAACCACCCACAAATGATCACATTTGCAAAAACCCAACCCAACCACTCGCAACCACTCGCAACCACTCGCAACCACTCGCAACCACTCGCAACCACTCGCAACCACTCGCAACCACTCGCAACCACTCGCAACCACTCGCAACCACTCGCAACCACTCGCAACCACTCGCAACCACTCGCAACCACTCGCAACCACTCCCCACAATGAGCCCAACAACCGCACGGCCACTTCCAGCACGGCTCTCTGCAACGCGCCCACTCCACCGCTGCGTGCGTCACCTCCTCCAGCCATCGCCACTCTCCGCCCTTCACTTTAGCTCGCTTTTCATCTCATGCGATTAGAATATTATTTTTACTCCTGCCAAACCGATACGGTGTCCTGTTGCGCGCCTATCTCGTCGCGATATCGCGGGCGCCCGCTCTCTATATAAGCGGCGTGGAGAGGGGTGGGGAGAGAGAGAGAGGCAGTCCAGATAGGCAGACGGCTGGAGGACGTTCATTCATTCAGCTGCTTGCTCCTGCGCTGATCCATTCCGTGATTCATTCGTGCAGCTAAGAACGTTCACCCATTCACTCAGTCGTTCACTGGTTGATTTGCCCCGTGCGTATAATAGCTGAAACAGCCTCTCCAACTTGGTAAGAGCCGTGTTTCCGTTAGGTGAAAGGGTACACCGAAGAACGCACATTTACGCACTCGCTCATTCAGCCCTTCATTGATTGATTCATTCACAACACCTGTGAACACGGTTCTGCCTGGTAGGATTGGGTTTAACGCTCGTCTTCTCAGGTTTCGCATTAAGAACATTCGTTCTCACTCACGACTTGTAAATACTCCTGGAAGGAGTAATCAGTTAATTAGGTCGTTTACAATTAGCTTCGAGATTTGCAGCAATCGTACGATCAATCTGTCCAGCTTTCTACAACCGGAGAACACAACGCAGCTCCACAATTCGGTTCGTTGACGCGAAGTTTTGCCCGCCTCTAAAGTGACAAACCAACTTGCATGCATCGGTCGATTTGCGTGCGTTTCGAATTGATCGTTACGAGCACACCGATGAGTTCCGTCAATTCGTTAACTTCCGACGTCTATTTTAATTAACACACACACACGCGCGCGCGCGCCGCGCTTCAATTTATAACCCATCGCTCAATTCGCTCGATCTCTCAAAAACCTTCCGGGCGATTTTTCACCTTCGCTCCAAAAAAATGTTCCTGGACCAAGTCCTCTGCTGCAACACGCTGGGCCGTCTTTGCTCCTTCCTGCCGCTCTGCGACGCCTCTTCCCGCAAGGAGCTCGGCTCCAGCGGGTCTCGTCAACGTCGGTGCGGAGGCGAGACCCTTCGCGGGTCACCATGGAGGTGTCAGCAACAGCAGCAGCAGCAGCAGCGGCAGCCGAACGGTGTCTGCAGCTCTGGCCCCGTGAGCAGTGGACCCCACTACTCCTCGGCGCCCCAGGGTGACGCGGACACAACGGGAGCCCTCGCTAGGACCTTGGCTATGATCGAGGTAAACGTGGCGGCGAGGCGATGTCGGGGAGAGTCGGGCTGTTTTGCCTGGCCGGTTCAGCGGCAGTCCGAGACGATTTGAGTTTGCGCGGAATGCATTCAACGGGTATTCGTCGGTCTCTCCGCATCAAATAATTAATGTTTGAGCCAATCGGTACTAGAGGGGTTTCAAGCCAACACCCCCGCGAGCGTGTTTAAAGAATAAAAACTCTGCTTGAGTTTCCCACCATTTGGGTCTCATCAGCTCATCAGCAGGAGCCAGACTTGCTGAAAAGTTGTCCTGATGCTGGGTCACTAGAGGTCATTGGTAAGGATACTGCGTCTGAACCACGGTGGCTCTGTTCAAAGCTAAAACACTAAATCAACATTGTGTTGTAACCATTCATTCCCACCACCGGCAAAGGTTGCAATGCGCGCGGGAAACTGACACAAGTCATAGCCGCTAAATGATCGACCGTGATAATTATTATTTTTTTCTCTCTCTCTAATCATGGATGCACCTCGAGCCTAAGTCCCGATCTGACGATGCATATACGCGGAGCGCACCAACCCGTTCGGAATTTTGCCCAGCAATCATCGACTAGGGAGGGTCGTGACGAGCGAAATCCGGCACGCGGTGTCAATGCCATCGAGGCAAGATACCCAGCCGTGGCCTGAGCCGACCAATCAGCCTCCGGTCAGTCTCACGCGCGCACACACCACCATCCTACACGTGTCGGTGGTGTGTGTGTGTGCCCGCAAGTGCAGTGGTTCATGTGGCACGTGGTGCGGCGTGTGGTGTCGTGTGGCTGCCGTGTGGTGTGGCTGGCGTGTGGTGTGGCATGGTGTGGTGTGTCATGATGTGTGGTGTGGCATGGCGTGTCGTTTGGCGTGGTGTGGCATGTTACGTGGCGTGTCGTGAGGTGTGGCACGGCGTGTGGTGTGGCATGGCGTGTGGTGTGGCGTGGAGTGGCATGTTGCATGGCGCGGTGTGTCGCGTGAGTGGCGTGTGGAGTGGTGTGGTGCGACATCTGGTATGGCCTCGCTTATGGTGTGGTGTCCCCATGCTGCGGTGTGTCGTGCTCACCCGCCCCACCCCCCCCCCCCCCCGCTCTGCAGGCCAATGAAGTGAAGGGAGTTCGCCTGCGCTGGCGAGGCTCAGAGCCGCTCATCGAGTTCTGCCTGGATCTTCAAGGGGAGGTCTCCGAGGCTGAGGCGGTGTCTGCAGGAGTCGAGGAAGCTCCCGGCGGCGGCCAGGAGGCCCGGGCGACGATCGAGGGAGCGGCAGAGTCGTGTGGAGCACTCAACCCGCTCGTGCCATTCCCGACGCACATTTTCCACCTGGAGGAGGTGTTCGCTGCGGTGCGGTGGGACGACGTCTCGTCTTCGGAAGTGAGTCTCGTCGCAGGCTCAATGTCGTCCGCGTCTGAGCCGGAGTTTTTTTTGTGCGTGTGTGTTATCCCAGCACACCACATCCACTGTCATTGTCATCGCCGCGGCTGTGGTTTCTAGTCACTGCGCCGAGCTCAGTTTAGCCGCAACTCAGAAAATCATCGGTGAGAAAATGCATCTCGTAGATTCGTGCAATGACATTCATGGGAATATACCAAATGAAGCGGATCGGTCTTGCTCTCGGGTTTTACCATTTAGTATTTAATTCACACGCGTAAAAAAAAAACACACTAGGTTTTGTTGGGAATTAAACAAACCACAAAATAAACATTATACCTATACGATTGAGATGGATTGGCGTCTATTAGCGAGCGTTAAATGCCCGTGTCAAATCCAGTGTACCACCACCACCACCACCGGGTTAGAATCCGAGCAATAACCAACAGTTCATCAGGGATCCTCACGTGCGACTGCTCAAACAATCCGTCACGTGACACACGTGGCCTCTCGTCACATCATTTGACTCATCTCGCCATAAATGATCAGAGTAATGAACACATTGACACCGCTCTTCGTGGTCTATGGCCAGAGGTGCCTGTCCATGGAGCTACTCAAGATGCATCGTTTTGAAAAAGCTCTGCAGTGACCAGTGTCTTTATTTCGTACGGGGGGAGGAGGGGTGGGGGTAGTTTCTCGGTAACGTTTCTGTGCTAATGTCGAGGTTGGTGAGTGAAACATTTGACAGCTCCAGGAGTAAATCTCTGAAGCGCAGCCAGCGAATGATCTCGGCGGGCAGTGACGTATTACGATACATTCAGTATTTATTTATTGGTTCGGCCACAGGGTAGTTTAATGGCAACATTCTTGTCATTATCCCTCCACCATCCATTACGATTGACACGTTAATTTAGTATTACTATTATTATTATTCATTCGTGGAAATGCATTGATCAAATGCTTACCAACACATCTCTTCGCCACCGTTGCAGGCTTTAAAGATTTTTCACGACTGGGTGTAACACCACGCCGCATTTCCTGCGTGACAGAGCGATGCAGTGGCAGATGCTAACAGTTCCAGCCGAGGCTCGAGTAACACGATTGACGTTTCGTCGGTGGTGAGATTAAAACATTAATTCTCAAACATTTTTGCAGAGAGACAAATTAGAAATGAGTCTCTAAGTGCAATTATCTGACATAAGCGAATTCGCGTGAGAATTCATGAGCAGGAGCCAAGATCACGTGTGCACTTTATCCTTTGTATATATTAATTTACCCGTGGATACAAATAACAATTTAAAAGCATTTTACCGCGTCATTTAGTGGATGATTCAATTATTTATTTTACAAAAAATGTACATGGGCATAACACCGCTTCAGATTAACACGACCCGCTGATGTCGGCCATTGCCGGGAAGTTAACTTAGGTGGCAGTGCTTATAGCGCAGCGCGCTAATCACTGCGCCTCCGCTCCACCCCACCGCATCTCCACTAGAGATTCCAAAAGCGATTTTGACTACCATCGACAGCCCCTAAACGCCTGTCCAGCGATGGTATAAAAGGACATGCCTGGGTCAATAAAGCCAAGTATTACATCATGTTGAAATTCCCTGCTGTGGCAGAATAACAGGAAACATTGTGCTTTTATGGGATTCCATTTGCTTCAATCTGCACGAGGTGGGGGGGGGGGGGGTTATGCAAGCTTCTCAGCATGCCTCGTGGAAAGCAGCTATCAAATGGATTATTTCACACACACACACACACTGACGAAAAACCCTACATCACACCCCGCAGTCACGAGCCCACCTCCATCTCCGCTTTCCCTAACACAAAGCCAATAGAGAGTTCCCGTGTAGAGCCAACACAGACTGCAAGTGTCATTTAGCAAGCACCGATGAAGGTCTGCACGGCACACGAGAGGCCAACATCACGCCCATCCGCCTTTGTCTACCCAGTGATCATGTTTTCATACAGCACCAGGTACTCATTAAAAGCCGACTCAGTCCAATGACTTATTTGAGATATTTGCTGGTCTTATCGGCCACGGCCGGGAGTCGAACTCGGGTTGCTGGATTCGTAGTGCGGTGCGTTAACTACGACTCCACCATCGCTTCACATATCCCCACAAAGATCACCCATATAGCTGGGGGCAAGTGCTGTTAGCGAGCACCTACGAAGGCCCGGGGCATGGCACACGAGGGGGTGGGTGGCCAGCACCACGTCCGGCCGCCTTTGTCTCTCCGGTGACGATGTTTACACATCGCACAAGGATACTCATTTGAGGCTGAGTCGATCTAGGGGATGCCCCGGACCAGTGTAGATAATCGTCACTGGTGTTGACCGTTCGTAGCGCTACACTACGCATAAACACACAAACACAAACACGTGCCTCCCTGCACCGCAAACAAAAAGTATAATCTCGATTTTCCTTGTTTTTTCTCCAGGATTTTTGCTCCGAACTTGATGAAGGCAGGAGGGCGTACTTCTCTGAGCTCGCTCTTCAATACAAATAGTAAGTCACCGCGTATACAGGTACCGCAGTACAAACAAAAAAAACACACAACACCGGTAATGCTGTAAACAACCTTCATGAAGTAGATTAACTCGCTAAGTGTGGTCGTCCTGCGGGATTGAATGTCACCGATTCTATCATGCACTTTGGGTTGGCCCACGGGGGCTCGAGAACAATTAGGGTTCGTGGGCCATCTGTGCGAGCGATTATTTTGTTTTCACCGACCACAAATAGAACACTCGTTTCGCGTCAATTGGTCAATCATCCCAATGCCGATTCTTCCAGAAACAGTCAATATTGGATAAAGGATTGAGTATAATTACGCTATTTCCTGAAGCTAGTGTCCATATGGCTAATGATGTGGACTCCACCCCAAAGCGGCGTTCTTCTTTGCAAGGGGCGCGCGGGCCACTGAGGACCCCTGGTGGCCTTTAGTGCGGCCCCGACAATACACAACACGTGACAACACTCCTCAATCGTGCTGCTGGCAAACCCCAATGGTTTCAAAATATGCGGCAGCCCTCCTCACACTGATGATGTCTTGTCGGCAACAGTGGCCCCCCTCTGAAAATTAGTGAAGAACACTGCCCTAAGGTGTCATCTTCCAAACAATAAACTTTAATTGGGTTCAGAGCTTAATTTAAGCCAGGACCTGTCCAGGGTTGAGCTTCGGAAAATACCTCCCATCCCCTCCCCCGGGAACTTCAGTACTGCTTAAGCTATGAACTCTTTGAAATACAATATATGGTGAGTGGTGATGAAGCCGACTGGGGGCCTTAAGCCTCAGTTCTGGTTTGCTACCATCACGTGACTACATATTCTCAAAAACGATACAATCCAATAATATCACAGTTAATTCTAGATTTGAAGCTTTCGTGACTGCAAGGATTTTTAGGTTTTAATACCCTCTACGGGGAGGAATTTCACCTATCTGTTCGTGATTTTTATTTTATTTTTATTTTACTTTTATTAATTTAAATGTTTTTACCTACGTGACTTTACCGAAAAAACCTAAGAATCCTTGCAGTCACGAAAGCTTCAAATATTAGCACCAACCCAGTTAATATCGCACAACCCAGTCCACTCCATCAGTGTCAATTCTTCATCTCTCCTCGTTCTCCTCCGGCCCTACCCTTGCAGCCGCGAGCCGGCGCCCGCGCTGCAGTACTCGGCACGGGAGAGCGCCGCGTGGCGGAGCGCCCTGGAGGCGGCCCTGCGGAGTGCCCCCGGGGCAGAGCCGGAGCTCCGCGCGGCCCTGGAGGAGCTCACGGTCACCGCCTACTGCGCGAGCGAGGTTCCGCAGGCGAGCCACGTGTCGCAGCTGCTGCACGGTGAGCGAGGCGTGCCGTGCCAAGCCGAGCCGTGCCGAGCCGAGCTGAGCCGTGCCGAGCTGAGCCGTGCCGTGCCATGTCGAGCCGTGCCGAGCCGAGCCGTGCCGTGCCGTGCTTGCGCGCGACGGCCATGGCCAATCTCACAACGAGTACTGCCCCACAATGAAGGATGAACACATCATCGTCATCGTTATTATTATTATTATTTGTTTAGGTGGTGATGCTGCTGCTACGTTGGCAGTGGTGATAAAGCACTCGCAACAACAACAAACACACAAACTTCGATTTAAAGCTTTCGTGACTGCAGGGATTCATATTCTTGGTTCTTTCGGTAAAGTCACGTAGAAGGGAAATAATATAGTTTTATTTTATTTATTTTATTATTTACCTTCTACGTGACTTTACCGAAAGAACCAAGAATATGAGACACGCAAACCCCCAGTACCCAATAATACTATTGTTGCCCTGTAACTGCGTTTTGTGTTTAGTTTGCTGTCCTTCCCCAGCACATTCGCTTACTAGGGTTGGCTACGTGCTGTGCGAAAGAAGTTCAACAGCATACAACATAAAAAAAATTATATGTATATAATAGGTGACCTTTACAGGTGATGTTTAAGTTTCAGGTTTAGTTTGTTTTAACCTGGAGTGAAATCAAAAGGCCAGGTGAGGTTCATTTACAAGAGTGAGTGTGTGAATGAGTGGGTTAGATGATGAGTGAGTGATTTCAAGTTCAATATTGTTTAACCAATTGAAAACTACAGGAGACCAGGATATAGAATCATTTGCAAGAGTGACCTGGGTCAACCTGAACTAAGCATTTTTGTATTTTAGCAGGTAGTGTCCACTGAGCTATGTAGCCCTTTTTCAGAAGCGACCTGGCCACAAATGACAGCTCAACGAAGTTGGCTTATCACGTGGAAATGTATAGCAGCCAAATACTCTGAGCGCGTGTTGTTGATTCTAAATGTGGAGGGGATAATCGGAGCACCCTGAGAAAAATCCACGCGCCCACAGGGAGAGAGACACGCAAACTCCAAATATACAGCAGGCGCCAGGGTCGGGATCAGGATCGAACCCACGACTTCCTGCATACCAGGCGAGGTAGTTAACATCTCCTAGCCACCGTGATGATGATGAGAGAGAGAGACACGCAAACTCCAAATATACAGCAGGCGTCAGGGTCGGGATCAGGATCGAACCCACGACCTCCCGTATACCTGGCGAGGCAGTTAACATCTCGCCACAGGGTTAACCAAAGTTACCAAGGCAAGAAAACAAAGAAACAAAGGAAGCAGAAAAGAAATCGAAACAAAAAAAATCAACAATGCATTTAATTATCATAGCGTTTTCCCACACGCAAAGCACTGCGCAGTAAAATATCAACAGCGACGAATCTGACGTTGACGAGCCCCAACCCTGTCTCTCTCCCTCTCTGTCTATCCGCAGGTCACACCGGCTTCTCTCTGTGGCCCGTGCCGGGCACTCCGCCCGCCCGCGCCCTCCTCTCGGCCCTGGCCTTCCGCGTGCTGCCCTGCTCCCTCCACGCGTGTCCCGGACAGCGTCGCGCACCCAGCGCACCGCACGTACGGCGGAGTGAGACGAAACCGCACGCATGCACGCGGAGATAATCATGGGGGGGGGGGGGGGGCGGGGGAAGAATAACTAGTGACGTGCGTGGTATTCGCTCGCTCTCGTAAAGAGAAAGAGAGAGAACGACTCGGACGCGCAAGAGGGAAGAACCACAGACAAGCAGGAAGGCGTTGAGCTGGCGCCAACGATTGCCCAGGCTCTGCGGTCCTCTATGCAGCCAATTAATGGGCGTTTACATGTGGGAGAAAACTGGAATACCTGGAGGGTTTACCACGTGGGTTTGCCATATGCGCGAGGGAGAAACACTCTATCCCATACTGTACTCTATTGCCTTCTCCTGGCGAGCCACGGTATAGGACCTCGACGCCAATGGAAAAGAGTTTGGTAACGGAGGTCCCATGATGAAGGAGTTTGGTAACGGAGGCCCCATGATGAAAGAGAGTTTGATAACATTTGTCCAATCCACCAACCGTCGCCTCCGCAGTGCTGGATTACAGACGTCCGCCACCACACCTGTGTGTGTGTGTGTTTCTCAGAGTGTGACTGACCGTTTACATGCCAGTGTGTGTGTGTGTTTCTCAGAATGTGGCTGACCGTTTACATGGCAGTGTGTGTGTGTGCATGACTGTCATAGCATATGTGTCGGTGTGTATTATACAGATGCTTATCTTTGTGTGTGTGTCTTTACGTATGTGCATGAATGTCGATTTACATGTATGCACGGGCGTCAATGTGTCTGCATGTTAGATTATGGTTCAGCCTCTGACAAAAATCACCTGGGATGTGCCCAATGTTTTGTCACATCTCTGTAGCTAAGCAGGGATGTTGTGCCTGGATAGTTCTTTGGTTGGGTGACCACGACACACGCTCGGCTGTCACGAGCCGTGGTAGTCCGTAGAGGGCAGTGCGGAAAAGTCCATTGTTGTACTGCACTTCTATCCGCCCACCACCTATGGTGCCCACCTACAACCCACGGTGACCGGCGTGGTGAAGTATGATCAATCTATAGTATGGAATGAATGGTGACTCACATTCGTGCAAAAAAACAAGTCGTTGAAGACTGCCGTGGGTCCGTGTTGCCAGCAGAGGGCGGTGCAGAAAAATACATCCGTTGATTTGTCAAAATGCTCCCACTCCGAATCTCCCTGCGTCCACCTCACCGCACTGACCAGCACGGTGAGGTGTGGTCAAGACAACCGCCACGGCGCGGTGAGGGCCTCGTAAGGCGGTTGATTGAACAGAAGGGCTGTTGCGTGTACATTTGGGGAGGCGTAATGCTGTCATCTATTGGTAGCAGATGGCCATTGCTGCCCTATGCTACCAATACCTCGACCTGAATGTCAACTGGTGCATGCATTTCCCTTGCTCTAGTTTGAAGATTATTAATGAAGTCTTGCACACCCTCTCCTATTGAAGCACACGAGGGATGGTTGTTATGGAATTGGTGCGTAGCTTGAGCCCTTGAGCCCAGCGCGTGGATGTGTTGGTCAGCCACGCTCTTTGCGTGCCGTGCCAGCCGTCATTGAACCCACAGGTTCTCGCTCGAAGCACTTGGCCCAACCAGCCTGTTAAAGGCGATATGGGGGTGGGGGGACGTTTGCCTTTGTTCGCGTGCGCACAGGGACGTGTGCGGACTTCTGCTCGGGCTCGTGCCGCTTCTCACGATCGGCCCAGTGGCGCGTGCCGTGCAGGACATGGGACTCGCCTCTCTGGGCTCCTCAAACGCCGACGTGCAGCTCCTCGCAAAGGTCACTTCCTCTCCACGGAACGCAATATCCACGTGCCTGAAACGGCCGCCACAATTCAAACTGTGTGTTCGATGGTCAAACAGAACAGTTCCTGAAGAAGCACGTGGAGCGAGACCTCAGGCGTCACGCCGCGTAACGCCAAGGCGCGTGGTAGCGACGTGGAACGGAACTGGCCCAGCTGCTTGCGGCTTCTACTCATAACGGATGGCGACGATTCGTTCCTGTAACGCGAGAAAAATAGTCTTTCGACCGGAGTTGAGAAGGGGCTCCTGACCTCCACGTGGGATTCGATACAATAGTTAAGGGAAGGAGAGGGGGGGGTCTCGATGATGAGGTGTGCGCGCAGCTCGTACACCGCAAACATTTCGTGCAAGAGCGTGCCTGTAAATCGTCAGAGAGAGTCAAACTGTCAAAATGCACATTGCATTGCCCGACTCCGAGAGCGATGTGAAAATCCTGGCAAGCATCGCTTCCCGAAATTTCCCCGTATGTACAATTACGCAATACGAGTTGGATTTATATAAGCGCCGTCTAAATGCGACCACACCTCAAAGACGGGTGTCTTTGCTCTATCGAGCGATGCGGTCAACCGCAGACGGAGGAAACAAAGTCTTGAGCCTCCACATGGCCGCTCCACTTTCAATCTCGCGAGGATATCCCGGCAGAAAAGTGAACTTCTTATTCCTGAATCCAGCCAGAGGCAGCCACTTCAACAAACAAAACAGCAACATGTTCCCACGACCACGCCGTCCGTTGCTTCAGGTCCCTGTATGGATAGTACAGAAAGTTTCTCCGGGGAGAAACGTCTGGACTATGCAATAGTTGGTTTGACTCACTGCAGCCACTCTCTCTCTCTCCATCGCTTCTCTCTCTCTCTGAGGGTGGCTTGGACAGATTGGGCCGTGCGAACTGAAGGATCGCTGCGAAGAAGCGACTCTTCTTCGCAGTCGCTCTTAAAACAAAGGGCTTATTATTAATTCTAGATTTGAAGCTTTCGTGACTGCAAGGATTCATATTCTTAGGTTTTTTTTCGGTAAAGTCACGTAGGTAAAACATTAAAATTCATAAAAGTAAAATAAAATAAAAATCACGACGTTTCTATTACTTGTTCGTGTTGGCGGGGTGATTGGCAACCGTGTAGTATTGCGTTGGTGGCCGAGGCTGGTGAGCCAGGTTGAGGGGTTGCGGGAGCGGCGCTGTGGACGTTTCGAGACGCCACCAGCGGATGAGCGAAGCGTCGGGCACTGCCGGGCGACGCTTTCCCACCGTTTGGCTTTGGTAGCCACGGTCGCTCGGTGGGGAGCTGCTTTTCATCAGTCGCAGGTGTAGTAGGTGGACCGCAAATGGCCAAGGTGGTATGTTAGAATTGCTACCGAATTAAACGTTACAGGAGGGAACAATGGGCATGTCACAAGTCGTCACAACTTCTCCATCTGTCACTCGGGTAGGTAACTTTGCTCGTTCCCCGAGTCGATGGCAACTGCATACCAGTTCTACACTTGCTAGTAGAGATAGTGGTATGATAGTGGTATGGTGATGATGGCTGTGGTGGTCACGGCTGTGATTCTAGTGGTAATTATGGTGATGTTTTATTTTCGTAATTATTTAAATTACAGAAAGTATGCGGCAAAATTGCATCTTGGGAACAAACATAAGGCGCTGCCACAGCAGTTAGACTACAGCGTGTAGGTCAAGAACGTGGATACGATGGCTCTCATTTACAGAGATTGATCATCTCGAGTTTCACTTGGGTCTTCAAAGTCATCAAGGTCAATAACTTCAGGCAGCCTATGCGCTTTAGAGCGTGGTGCCATGTATTGTAGTGCTGCTCAGTTTAAACTCACGATGATAATGCCATTTATTACTCAGTTATGTATTATTGACCATATTAAGTTTTAACTAGTGGCTTTCTAACACCTCTTCATTTCAGCGATGTTGTTTAACTGCAACTCTTGTGACAGTGAAGCTGATATATTTTCCATTTGATTGCGAGGTCAGAAAATGTAAAATTAAACTTCAGGATCTGCCCGTAGTTTAGTAAAGTATTATTAACTTGAATACTGAATTCAGTAGCAAATAAGACTGCCGTATACATTTGTAATTACAGGGCGTTTCTAGAGATGAAGTTGTTATTGACTGGCCTTGCCCAAGAAATATTAGGATTTTCATGTAAACTTGAATTTTTTAACTCTTCTGGGAAGTTTTTCACTGGCAAAATGATTTTAATTTAAAGCTTTCGTGACTGCAGGGATTCATATTCTTCGTTCTTTCGGTAAAGTCACGTAGAAGAGAAATAAAAATAACAAAAATAAATCCCTTCTATATGACTTTACCGAAAGAACCAAGAATATGGCAGAATTATGTCAAAAATTGCCAATAGCATAGCTGATTACTGACAACACAAATTAGTAGAAGGACACCCTGATTGGAAGTTCTTCCGATTGTTAGGGATTTTTAAAAATTGAATACGAGACACCGCAATCCTCATTATCCGCGTGCTGTACAACCGTTTTAGTGCAGATAAGAGGAGTAATGTAATTCCACCCCAACTTCACTGCGCAATAAGTGTAAGTCCACCCTTCGTGCAGTTGTCCCAATACGGTAGAGCATTAATACAGCATTCCCAGACTTCCCCGCACAAAGGCAAATTTGATCTCGATGGAATATGATCGTGTGAGTAACGAGCCCTGCGTTGTGCCCACGTTTCTCGCAGAGTTTCTACAGCGTGTGCGAGTTCGCACTCCGTCAGGCGGGTCTCCCCGTCTGCTCGGAACCCGGAGACCCTGTGGGTCCCCACGACGTCGCCATCACAAGCCTGGAAGACGCGCTGTCTCATGCGAGGTACATCATTGTCAACTCACGAACGGTGCACTTGGCCGATGGCCGGGCGCACCGTTTGGTCTTTTGATCTCGTCAGATCTCAGAAGCTAAGCAGGACCCGGAGCCTGTTTGGTGGATTGGATGGGCGAGAACTCTGTATAACGGGTTGCTATAGGCTGCTGCGGGGTTACGTGGTGGGCAGCAGAGGGCAGTGCAGCGTAGCAAAATCCATTGTTGTTACGCTACTTCTTTGCTCATCATCTTCACTAACTGACCAGCGCGGTGAAGTATGGTTAAATTACCCTCATCCAGCGGTGGATTGGCAGAAGGGCTGCTTGTGGGTGGGGAGCGGTGGCACGGTGGTTAGCGCACTGCTCTGTATACCTCGCAGCCTGAGTTCAACTCCCAGCCAAGGCGAACGTCAGCGGCGGAGTGCTCTCTAAAGCGGTTGTGCGCCCCACCCCCCATTACTACAGCAGCCCACACTGGCCCAGCGTGGTGAAGTATGGTCAAACAAGCCTCGCAACCGACAGCTTTGGGAGGCCTCCATCCAAGAACTAGCTCAACAAGGGCAGATGAAAAGGCTTCACAGCATGGTCAAAACTGCGGCATGTCATCGCAACACCGTGCTGTAGATTGCACAAGCAGGCAGGTCACCGTTTGTTTGCACACTTATTCCAATGAATACCTCTGCAATTCGCAGTGATTATCAATAGGCCGTTATTACGTGAAACTTACGTTTCCACGAAAGTGGCGAGCGTGCGTCGCCTCGCATTCGAATGTGAAAGTGAACCAGACCGTGCGTGCGCTTGCCCATCGCGTGGCCAAGTGGCGTGACGCTTTCACGTCAAATCTCACACCACTAGACGGACGTCGAGAGAGAGAGAGAGTATTGCCCTTTTAACGCCGTAGAGCCAGATTAGTATTTAGCCCTGACATTTTACGGCACAAAGAGGAGAGCGTCTACATTTGTTCTGCAGCAAAAAAAAAAAAGTTACCCAGAGTCTCTTGTTTTCCTATCACAGCTCGACCCATTGCCTAAAACTCTTCACGAAGGTCACCCGAGAATTTCACCTTCCAATGTCACGTCGCCTTTCAACGGTCATTCTGTTTCCAACGGGGACCGCTTTCGTCAATATTTGCTAATTTAGGCACGGGCAGCAGCTCGCACACAAAGGCAAAGGTCCCCCGCACAGCCCACGCACGCTCCCGGGTCAAGTGCTCTGCAGCGAGCACCTTTCATGGCCAGTGAGGCACGGGGGGGGGGGGGGTGGCACGCGCGCCGCCCGGGCCGTTGTTTTTTCACCCAGTGCTGTCGTTTAAACTGCACCAGGCAGTGAACTCGTTTAAGGCTGAGTCAACCTAGGGGAAGCCCAGGACCAGTTCAGATACGGGGCGAACTGATGTTAGCCAGGTCACCATGTTCACAAATACCACCTCCCGCCCCCCGGCACACAAATTGCTAGCACAGTATTCAAGTAATTTTAGCCACCCCTGCTTCATGCTGTTGTTGAAGTATCTGAGCTTTGTCCGCACGCGGTATTGCACCAGACGCGATCAAGACGAGCACGTATATAAAAGACTGCCCCCGTGTCAAAAAGCACTCGATTCACAATTAGAAGTTTGCAAGGTTCAAATCACCATTGTCATCGGCTATGATTAATCCACTGCTGGATGAAGGCTTCCCTGGGCCGTCGCCATCTCTCTCTCGCGATCGTGCGATACAACGATGCATCTTGGGCAAGCACGCGAGTTTGATTCCAGCTGCTCCATCGCTGCGTCGATCGTCCTCTCGGTGTGTTCCCTCCGTCTTGACCACCACCATCAACCCTCAGGGGGCCGATAAAAAATGAGTCCCACTTTGTGGGACGTCAACGTGGTTTTTGTTGTTGTTGTTGTTGTCAATAGAACGCAGCGATGTTCATTAGCCGGGCCGCTCGACAATTCCTGCATTTTACGGAACGGAGGTGTGGGCAAAGTTTGGCCGAATCAACTCCGTGCGCTGGAGTGGCTTCGTCCTCATATTTGAATTTGCGCGATTCTGCCGTTGAAATTCGATGAAGATGTTTGCACCTTTGTACGGCTCTGCCCTTGCTACACCGCAAATCCGTTCTCTTTGGCCTGTGGAAATAAAGAATTGCAGAATGCGGTTTGCTAATGGCGGAAGAGATCCGAAGTAAATTGGAATTCTTGAGTCTAGCGAGCCTTTCACACAAACGGTCATTGTGCCAAGGCGATGCGGGGCCGATAGACAAAGAGGCTTAACGAATCATGAGATGTGTAAGTGACGAAAAGCAACCGTAAAAATGTATAGCCTTGCATTGGAGATTGAGCCTATGAATTTAAATAGCATGCGAAGGTCAACGTGGCGAATTAAGAGACCCCCTTTGAAGGCCTGAGCAGAAAGAGACCTCATGAAGGTTAAAGCTTTAGGAATTAAAAAAAAAGAATCATTGTGACTTGCGCATTCACAACCATTCAACAGAGCTCATAGCATATGTCATACTCAAAAAATATGTCATACTCAGAAAATGCGCTTTCAAAAACCGGGACTTAGGGGGGGATCCATTGCTTTAACGGACTCTCACCCGATACAATTAAAGGGAACATTGCTGCTATCGGACAAAGAGGGTCGTTTTTGGAGGACGCAGTCAGGGTAGGTTTAGCCCACGTGTGCCGGCATCATCGTCCAAATTTACCAAATTTTACTGCCCGTATTCTCCGCATTACTCGAAGCACCCCCAACTTTTGCTCTACATTGCAACCCGGAGAATACGGTACGACTTGCAAATGACTGAACGGTAATCGGGAAAACCACAACGCAAACCTTGCTCCCCCGCCCCCCCAACTGGCAGACGAATATACACAGCTGCTGCCACTGGGGTGGAAGAAGGCTTTGGGGAGGGGGGGGGGGTCCCCTATGGCTGGACCCCAGCAGGGTAATAGAATGATGGAGATGAGCTGTGATTCTAGATTTGAAGCTTTCGTGACTGCAAGGATTCATACTCTTAGTTCTTTCGGTAAAGTCACGTCGGTAAAAAATGAAATAAAAATTAATAAAAGTAAAATAATAAAATCACGACGTTTCGGAGGCAACACAAGTCTCTGTCATCAGGTGGGACCGTCACAGCCAGATTTGCTGCATCAAGTGAGGCATTCAAGTGGCGACACCGTGACGACCGCTTTACCTTCGACGGCTTCTTCGCTGCCGTTGCTGTGTCCCGCAGTTGGCAGGCAGCGGAGTGCACGGCGCGGCGCGGCTGGGCCCTGCGCTATGAGCCGTACTCCCAGGGCGTGCGCACCCTGCGGGATCCGGCGAGTGTGGCCCAGGCTGTCGCCGACCTCCGTGACCGGCTCTACCCAGCCTACACGGCTCTCAACGAGCTCTCCGTGAGCGGGGCCGCGTGATGCTCCAAGTCTCAACTCGTCCGCCGTAGTGGGAGAATATTAAGGAGGTTTGTTGTTGTTGTTGGCGTTGGCGTTAGATTCGATGGACAAGCCTGATGAAAAAAGTGTTATGGCCTGCTAGCCATCAATAAAGTACTGGCTGGCTCAGAAATGATTACCTGGGACTAAACGATGACCAGTATGAAATTAAAGCTGTGATTCCAGATCGAGTCAGTATTAGGGTATGATGGTAAGGAATTATTTTAGGGATGGACGCGTGCCAAAGGGATATGTTTAGAGGAAACGGTAGGGTTAAGGGTAGGTACAGCATTTAAGTTTGAGTGATTGCGTGGTTAGAACTGGTTGCCTGGGTTTGGTTTCGGAGAGCGTCAATGTCGTGTTAGCGATCAGGGTTCATAAACCAATCATACTCTTGATTCATTCGGTAAAGTCACATAGGTAAAGAAAATAATAAATAAATAAAAAAAGATAAAAACTAAATAAATTAAATCACGACGTTTCGATTGCAACACAAGCAATCATTTATTGACGAAACGTCGTGATTTTATTTATTTATTTTTATCTTTCATTTTTATTTATTATTTTCTTTACCTACGTGACTTTACCGAAATAACCAAGAATATGGATCCTTGCAGTCACGAAAACTTCAAATCTAGAATGGACCAATCATAGGCAAGCAGTTTCCACTGTCAACAAATCTCAAGCGGGCAGCTTCGGTCCCTATCATCACCTTAGAGAGCCGTGCCAAGCCCGACTGCTAAGCCACCAAACCTACGACTGCGAGCACGTGCGTGCCACGTCGCTTAGGTATGCAAAGTAACGGTGAAGCATTTCAATGAGCCCGGTCCCAGAGAAAGACATGCTGCTCCCATCTGCTTCGTAGTACATAGTGGAACCGTATGCCAGAGGTAGGCGAATTCACGTATAAGTATTTTAACAACATGACTTTGAATCCACGTGTCCATGTATTCTAGCAACTAGATTCTAAAGCTTGGGGCACAAGCTGTTTGAAATTGCTCACAATCATATGTAATGTCTGACATAATATTGCCATTTGCACAACACTGCTATTATCACAGTGTCTTTGATGTTAACATTTCAGCGGATCAGATGGCACATCTTATTGCTCGTAAATTATTAAGGTGGCATATGCTGTGTTTTGGTACGCGTCTGTATAACACTATAACGATCAGGCATCGTCATTCACATTGTGCGAGCGACTGGAATATGATCCCGACCAGGATCAATGATCTCAGATTTCACAAGCACTGTAAGTTGATATCACTTGTATGGTTGTCATAAACACACACCCGAGTCCCATCTTAATGGTTCTTAATCAGCAAGCTTATCTTAGATTGAATATTAAACGAATTACTTGGCGATGTCGCATTGGAGGGCTATCGCCAGAAATGTTGCCCATTGTATATTTTTTCTCGCATGGCGGTGTTATTGACGAATGTGTGGAGTTGTATTTGATTGAACTGGAAGATGTGGCTGTATCGAAGAATGCTGAAAATCCCATGGACAGCCAAAACCACCAATACACAAGTTCTGCAAGATATGGGCACTGACAGGCAACTGCTGAAGACCATCATTAGCAGGAAGTGTTACTACCTAGGCCACATTGCCCGAAACGACCACAAATACCAGCTATTAAAGCAAATCCTGGAAGGAAAAATCGAAGGGAAAAAACGACCAGGACGGCCAAAAACGACATGGCTCAGTAGCATCAAAACATGGCTACAATTAACAACAGCAGCACAAACTCTACACGCCGTGCTAGACCGGGACCAATATCATCGTGAAGTCGCACACGCCGTTAGGCAGCACTCAAGAAGAAGAAGAACTGGGATACCATAATAGAGAGGGGTTTTTTTTGGGTTAGATCGCGTAAATATGAATGTGCCGCTAAACTTGCCACCACCACCCGACACAGCCAATTATTAAGGTGTATCACGTCAACAAAACATGACAATTGTTTATTGATACAGCAGCACACCGGAGTATTTGAGAGTAAACTCACAACATTTGCAATTTGAGCACGACATTTCGCCGGTAATTATAACAGCCAGCCTCATTAGGCGGCAGCCAGAACATGGAATACCATTGTTATTTTAGAACATGTTCAATGTGTGTGTCAGTATCCTGCCCTGTGCATCGCTGTACCCTTTTAAACACCCCGTTCCCGATTTTGTCTACAACGCTTCGTATGTCAAACTTGAAACAAAAACATGAATACAGACTCTTTAAAATCGCTTAACCCTAATCTGGTCATTTCTTTCCGAGCACTGTCGACATGCAATTGGAGTAAAATTAAAACGGGCAGAATATTTCCCCGGTTACGTTGTGAATTCCGGTTCACCAATGCATATGTGAGTCACATGGACATTAGTGCTCCTTCAAACTCGCGACGCAACATTACATTTGACCTTTAGGTAAATTTCAAGTGGTTTACGTAATGCATTGAAAACCCACCCTGACAACAATACATCTCTTGACCTGCACACAACTTCCTCCTACATAATGCACGATCCTACCCAACCACACAAAGCCTTCAACTACCTCCAACATACTCCATTCCCATGACACCTGTGAACTTAATTTTAGGAGCGTTCACCTCGAGACCCCACATTGTCCATCTCTGGCACTTACATTTGCCAAGAGCTACATTGCCTCGGCCATTGTCATGGCTGACAAACCCAAAGCATCTGCGTATTGTCAAATATGTCAAGTGCAAATAACCCAATGCCACAATGTCTGTGGTTTGCTGACTTGCCTGTTCATGCATCAACTGGTGACCAATGCTTTTCTGGCATCTCAGCAGCCAACGCCACGCATTGCTCCTCCTCATACTTTGTCACATTTGAGCTGTTTTGCTGACGTTGAAAAAATATATTTTACGTTCGTTTTTTCCCCACTTAAGAAATATCTTCCCGTTATAAATAACAATTTCTGCTACTACTTGATGTTTATCATTGATCTCGCCGAGTTTTTACAGTCTCGTCTTATTTGCTTGGAGAGAAAAGGCAGTCGCGGCAACTAGATCCTCTTCATCGCGATAACTTGTTGAGCGTGATGTGGTTCAGTGAAAGTGTCAAAACAGCTGGAAGTTTCTCGACTCTCAACCAAATCGCGTTTCACTTTCACGGAGACAAATCCCAACGGCAGCATCAGGCGCGACCATTGTACGTACACCTCTATGGCTTTTACCGTGAAGTCACTTCATTGCTTAAATAGTGAATTGTATAAGTCGGCAATTTGTTCACGTTCCACATTGAAGTGTTTGGCAGTATGCCGTAGCTTTTGTATTTACAACTAAAGTGAGACACCTTTTAAAGCCAATTCGCTGCATTAAAAAGGCCGCTTGACATTGGGGTTGTCACCTCCGAAGTCCAAACATCTCGGACGCGTCATGGGAAGAAGAATACCTATCTCGCGATGCCATGAGAGAGGCTGAACAACTACATGTGTATCAATGCTCAGTCGCAAGTGGGGTATTATGACCCCGTGGTAAACGACTCGCAGAAGATTTTCCCAGAGTGGCCACCTCAAAAAAATAGGACCAAGTCCTTTGAAACCCAGGACAGGCGTGTGACCCTTCGCCGCAATGAATTGCGTGTCAACATTTGCATAATTTAGCAAGCTTGTTGTATAACGGTGTTTGCGTGACATTTAGACGGGGGGGGGGAAGGGGTAGGAACGTGCAGCCGCTTTTGATGGCTCGTGTTAAAACTCGGCGACTCGGTGGCATTTAAGTGTTTGCCCGCGTGAAATTGTTATTCACACCGCTCCGTTTTTTTCCCCGTGCATAATGTGAATGCGACCGACCTCGCTACATCAATAAACAACGTTCATTAAAACGCACACGTCCATACGTTTGTCCTGCATTTACGCTCTCCTAAAAGGCTATTACTGTATAGGTGGTCATCGCTACTTGCGCGGAGAATGATGTTCCATCTCGCGAGTCAGACCTTGGCCGCCTCCCACAGCTGTCTGTGGGCACACCGCTAGGTGCAATAGAACCGTCGCCATTGGCTCAGACCACGTGCGTGTAAGAAGGGCTCGCGAGTGACGTCATCACATCTACCCCTCTACTTCAGGAACGGAACGGGAGGAGTTCTCCCACAAGTCTGGCTGTCCGCCGGACGATGCCGGTTGTGATTACTGGCGACACGTCGCACTCACCGGTGCGCTGTACTCGTAACGGATTGGCACGTTTTGTTTACGTGACAAACCTTACTAATTGGCTGTGTCGGGTGGTGGCGGATTTAACGGCATATTTATATTTACGCGATCTAACCCAAAAAAAAACTATTATGGATGTATGTACTGTATGTTGAACTTCTTTGCACCGTGTCGTGGTGGGGGGAGGACAATAAACGAAACGCAAAAAGCACTTTTGAAGATATTCGTTTGCAATGTAGCTCCGGTGGCTTCCAAATATCGGAAGGAAGATCGTTCCAGACGGCCGCAGAAGCGCGTCTGAAAGCGCGCGGCGCGGTGAGCACCGTTTCTGTTCGATGGCTAGCAGCTAAAAGTGCAAACCAGAATACTGCTGTGATGACAGTAGAGTCCACATGCGGTGTGAGTGGACTAGTGGCCACGGGAGGTAATGACAGGGGAGTCAGCTGTGAGTGCGAAGGGACTGGTGGCTACGGGAGGTAATGACAAGGGTGTCAGCTGTGAGTACGAAGGGACTGGTGGCTACGGGAATGTTCGAGAAGGGAGCGTGGTCAGGCGAGGGAAGAGGACGGTGGAGTCTGCCAGTGGAGCGAGCGTCCAGAGCCAGCGAGAAGTTTCGAGAAGGGGGGCGTGGTCTCGTGTCGGTATAAAAGGGGGAGATGTGCGGGAGACTCGGGGCTGTTGCAGTGGGGGTCTCCGCCTGATGTCAAGTGAACGTGTCTTCAACAAAGTGCCATCTCAAGAGAAGTGTATCAAGTCGTCATTACACTTTTATCCAACTCCCTATGCAGATCGCATCGTGCAGTGCACGTTGCACACGTGTCACCACGCTGCGGGTCCACTGCTGGATGAGGGCCTCCCCGTACGTCGTGGAGGTAATTTGACCTTAGTTCACCACGCTGTCTAGTGGCGGGTTGGTGGAGGTGGGGAGCATACATTGTAGAGTACAACATTAGACGCTTCTGCAACGTACTCTGCAGCAGAAGCCTATACATCACCTAAACTAAACTGAAACTATTTCAGAAACGACCTGGCCACAAATGATGAGCTCAACGAAGCGGCTTTTCGCGTGAAAATATATCTAAACGCACGTTGTTGATTCTAAATGTGGAGGGGAAAACCGGAGGGCCCGGGAGAAAATGTCACGCGACCACGGTGAGGGAAATGCGCAAACTCCAACTATACAGGCGTCAGGATCGGGATCTAACCCACGACTTCTTGTATAGCAGGCGAGGTAGTTAACATCTCATAGCCACCGTGGCGAGATGTTAACTGCCTGTATAGCAGGCGAGGTAGTTAACATCTCATAGCCACCGTGGCGACCTGCTGCGCTCAAGATAGCCGCACATCCAGGCGCTATCCAGGCTCAAGCCTACTCATGTGCAGCCACGGGAGTAGATTGTGAAAATCACAGAATCGCGTGGTCCTAGGGAGCCCTTCATCCAGCAGTGGATTGATTATGGTGGATGATGATGATGGTTATTGTGATAACACAGAGACAAAGATCCCCCGTATAGCCTTAACACACTGTTGGGACAAGTGCTGTTCGCGAGCACCTATGAAGGTCAGCACGGCACACGAGGGGGTGGGTGGTCAGCAAACCGCGCCCGGACGCCTTTGTCTCCCCAGTGGCGATGTTTACACACTGCACCCGGTACTTATTTGAGGCTGAGTCGAGGTAGGGGAGGCCCAGGACCAGTTCAGATAATCGTCACCGGTGTTGGCCAGTGAGCTGGAATCGAACCTCGGGTTCGCCAGGTTCGTAGCGCAGCGCAGCTAACCGCTACACTACCGCTCCCCCCCCCCCATTCATCGATATACACACGCACGCACACACGAATTGGAAGGAAGAGACTGCATTGACAGGATTCGTCTGGTTAAAAAATCTTGACGAGCAAGGGAGAGTGAATGACGATGCCGAACGTGGTCTGGGATGGGTGGGTGGGTGCGTGGATGGGTGAGTGGATGGATGGATGGGTGAATGGATGGGTGGGTGCGTGGGTGGGTGGATGGATGGGTGGATGGATGGGTGGATGGATGGGTGGGTGCGTGACTGGATGGGTGGGTGGGTGGATGTGTGGGTGCATGGGTGGGTGGGTGGATGTGTGGGTGGATGGGTGGGTGGGTGGATGGGCGGGTGGGTGGATGTGTGGGTGGATGGGTGGGTGGGTGGATGGGTGGGTGGATGGGTGGGTGGGTGGATGTGTGGGTGGATGGGTGGGTGGGTGGATGTGTGGGTGGATGGGTGGGTGGGTGGATGTGTGGGTGGATGGGTGGGTGGGTGGATGGGTGGGTGGGTGGATGTGTGGGTGGATGGGTGGGTGGGTGGATGGATGGGTGGGTGGATGGGTGGGTGGGTGGATGTGTGGGTGGGCCGGCGCGCCTCTTCAAGCGTCTCCTTCACAACCACCACAACAGTGGCAGCAATTGCCACGGCAACAGGCTCTATATATATAAATCCCTTATCTGCCAGCAAACAGAAGGACATTGGCTGCGTGGAAGAGGGAGGGGAGGGGAAAGTGAGAGAGAGAATGCAGCACGAGAAGGACAGAGTGAGAGTGTGTGTGTGAGAGAGAGAGAAGGAGGTTCAGTTTTTAAAAAATGCATGTCAACCGAGTGACGCAATTGAGCAACATCACATATATTAATGGCATTTAATCAAATGTATATTTTGTTCACACTTGTCGACGTGCAAAGGATTTCCTGGAGACCGAGGGGGTGGGGGGGTGTTTAAAATTGGGTTGCGTGGAACCGCTTGCAAAAATCAAAGAGTAATAATGAAACACTTTCACAACGAAACATCTGGCGTGGCAGCGGAGATCATCGTCGACAGGTTACGTATGCCGCGTGTCAATTTGAAAGTGGGTGATTAAAGGGCATCTTACCGTGTAGCGTCACGTACAGGGGTGGCAAACGTAGGGTTAATATATTTACGTTTACAAATCACGTACGGTTATTTCGTACATATATATTGTTTTACAAATTATAAAACGGACTTCCATGAACATGAATGCATGCATTAATTATCTTTTTAAAATAATTTAGGAATACAACAAAAAAACATTTTAGGTATCATTTTTGAACATCCATCAATTCCGCTTTGTCTCCATTCAGGGTTCTTGGTCGAGTTTTGATAAGGACGGATTTTAGATGACCCCACAGGAAAAATAAAAATAAATATTAATAATGATAATAGATACAATATTAACTTAAATAATAAACAATTAAAACTTTTAATGCCAGAGTTAAAATACATTGAATAACCCTTTGTGTCCTGACTTTTGGCCCACCCTGTCTATAGCCCTTTTGCATCACTGCTCGTGTTTATGAGGTCCAGGCTCAAGAAAGTCCTTTTATTATCCTCTGTACTATGACTCACTGCCTCTCAGCAAAGTCAATATGCCCATTGCTTTTGTGCAGAATCTTAAGATATGGTGGGATTTAGACGCTATGAAGAAATCCACATTGTATTGCAGCACTTGACTTGTGAAAAGTACAGCTTTAATGTCTAGCTTGGTAACCAGATTGCGTTTTTAAAAGAGTAAAAGCACCTTTATTTTCGTGATAAAAAAAGTAATGATGTGCGAGAAATATCACTTCAAAGGTTTTATATTAAATAGTTTAATTATTTTCTGAGCTAGACATCAAATGTCTAGCTTTGGCCCATTCGGGCCCTTCCCGTTTTGGCTACTGCATATCTCAACGAACTACATACACTGCATTTTTCCTTTCCGAAACAATATAAAATATAGAGGTGCAGCCCTGTAATTACTTGCTCACACCACCGCTGACAGAAGGGCCTCATCCAGAGGTTTTTTTTGGTGTTGCCTCCTCTTCCATGCTGGCCATGGCTTCAGCTGCTGCTCTGGGAGTGCCAAAAGGCGACCTCTAAATTGCTAATTCAGCGTGCTAACAATTGCACCGTGGCAATATCACTCTTAAACACTCTCCAGCTCATAAATTATACAAAATGTTATCAGTAAATGGATGAATTAGTCACACCGCATCACATTTATGTCACTGTAAACATTACAGAAAATTCTTCCGACTGAGTGATCAATCCGGATGCAGTCCAATTTGCTGGACATTTATGTAAATAAATACTCATCAGGCCACGCTCATTGCTTGTAGTAGTTGGTCCAATTTAAATGTTGGGTTTTAGGATTTAAGTGATCAATACCGAACGGAATCAATTATGTACCCTTACTGATTATCCTGGTATGGTTAACCTAAGTGGTGAGCTCTTTTCCTGCCACGTTGGCTAATGGTTCTCTAGTTGTGTATGAGTGGCTGGTAATATGTACGAGAAGCTCTGATGTGACAGGCCGCCTGTCCAAGCCTCCCCAGCGAACTAAGAGAATATAATGGGCCCCATTCTCACTCTTTGTGACATTCTACACCCACAGATGTGGAGGATTAATATAATTTTGCTTGGACCTCGGCAGAGCAGTGTGGTGCTGTAACGATGAGTGGTAACCATAGCCCGAAAACAGATGCA